GATATTATTTTATTGATATCTGGTATTTCTTTATTAAATTTCATTTGATATAGAAATTTATTTTACTCTTTTGAGATCTTCCTTTTATTTGATTTTTCTTTCTTCTCTTTTTTTTCCCCCCTCTAACCATTGATACCACCTTTGCCAGACCAGATAATATTCAGATTCTTCCTTTCCTTGAATTTCCTTGGTGAGTCTATTCATCTTATTACAACATCTTACTCAACCATCTTGGGAAGAGTTTGATGTGAATGAAGGTACCTAAAGAACCTAAAGAACTGTCAGTTATGATTTCATGATGTTGTATGTAGCAATAGCCTTTAAACTTATACACTGCCCCATCGGGGTTTACAGCATTCTCTAGGCGGTTTACGATGTCAGCATACTGCCTTCAACAATTGCCTCCTCACTTTACTGACCTCAGATGGATGGAAGGTTGAGTCAACCTTGAGTCCGTCAGGATTGAATTCCAGACTGTGGGCAGACTTAGCCTGCAATACTGCATTCTAATCACTGTGCCCACAACAACAACATAGTGACATAATAACTATGGTTTCAGTTAGGACAACCTATGTAGCTGAAACCATGCAAACATAGAATCACATAGACCAATTCACTCAACTTCCAGACCTTCCTTCCTGGGAAAACTTATAAGACTTCCACGCATTTATGAAAATGCTTAGTTGAGCCAGGTAATGGGGTTACTGGAAATGTGGTGGCAAATACTACCTTTGGGTTTGTTGCTAGATCTGTTTCATTATTGACAGAATAATCATTTTTATTAAATTTGTTATTTTATTATTGGAAAGGTGCTCCAGGTTCCTTCTGATTTTGTTATGTAGTTATATTCTATGTATATGATCTCAATGGTAAAAAATTCAGAACATGAAGGAGGGTCCAAGGGGAAAATGGAACAAAACTAATTCTTTAATATGGCACACATCTGATGATAGTGCTATATAAGGATATATGAACTCACCCTGCATTTTCACCCTATAAGCATGTTTTTATGCATTTTTTTCAAAAAACAAACAAACTTATGTTTGAATGCTACCTGATAATACAGCAATATGCATTTAAACAATAATTTTGAACTTAATAATTATATTGATTTAAATTAAAATATTCCTTTTTAAAAATAAAATAATCATGTAAATTTATACAAGAAAACAGTGTTTACCTGGTTTTATAATCTGCATGTTGATTTTCCTTTATTTTCTAAGCATGCTTGAATAAAAATTCAAAATAACAGCCATAGAAAAGACTATGAAGAGTAAGATTTTGCCATAAATTGATAATTCAGAAATGTCTTAGATATTCATTCTATTATTTAATGTATGTTAAATTGATTAACAGAATGAAAAATATGTGTATTTTTTAAAAAAATACTGATATCAATATGCCTGATCCAGAAACCTGTTCTACGCAGAAAGAAATGCTTAAGGAAAGAATACTGACAGTTTGTAATATTATATTAGCAAAATATTAATTTTATTCCAGAGTACAGTGGCATTGCTATATATATGAGGAATAAGTGATTAGCTTCTTAAAGTTTACAAACATCTAATCATTTATGACAGTGCAAATAACACAAATATTTCCATCATTACATTAACTTACATTACAAATATGAGATGATTCAGTCTGAGGCAGCTCAATGTTATTAAGCTGCGGTAAATCTGGTTTGGCAAGCAATAGCTGCCTGGTTAAAATTATAGTCATAGCTTTTGGTTGTCCATAAGGGCACCATTTATTTTTTCCCCTTGAAAACACAACTTCCCTTTGCATATTTAATTTATAGCCCAGGTTCTTTGCTTCTGGAACATGACCCTCCATAATTAAGTCTGTGTGGGTAAATACATACAATTGACAAAGTTGATCTTTAAATTAGCAAATCAAAATAAAAACGCTACAGTGTAAATTCTGTCTATTTACTCATTTAGGTCTTTAATTAAAATTGTACCCCATATCATCTTCATCCTACTGAGGTTCTTAGATTTTTTCTCTGATACAGAGCTGAGATTTATAGCTCAAAGAAAACCACAAGCAGCGGAGTTCATTTTGCTGTCAAGAAGGTAGGATTCCATTTGACGTAAGTGAAGTTGCTATTAGTTTCTGTGATAGTTAAGATCAATAAACTGCTGTCTTATTGAGCCTACAGCACTGCAAAAAAATTGGACCATTTAGACATATTGCCATGCTCGACACATCGTAGATAGTATTAGATTAAATCCTTGTTACAAGCACTTAAATGTAAACATCATCCAAACAAAGGCTGAATCTTCAAATACTAGATCCCTAGGAAAAATAAAAAAATAAAAAGGAAGCCCCAAACCAATCAATACACCTTTAATTTATTCACAATCCCTTTTTAAAGTCTTGTTGCTATAGTTGAAAGGCCACTTGAGTTCCGTTCAAAATTAGTCTCTTCCTTTTCCTGTCATTACAAAGTTTTCCCTAATGAGCTCAGATCATTATTCAGTCTTAATTACCATTAAATGTATTGTTTTAAATGTATCATTTACTGCTACTTTTGAGTCCAGACTTGATGTAGGAAGCCACTCAAATTAATTGACATCTAAAGAACTACATTTCAACTACACTGTAATGTTTTTAAATGCATTTATATTAAGTGCAAACATTATTTTGATTTCTTGTAACACTGCTTTTGATAGCGGCAATTGCTCTGAAAAAAATTGTGAAAATTGTCAATTTAGAACAATATTTACATTCTCATATTTGTTTTACTGTTCCTTGTTTTCTCACTAGGAATCCAAAACAAATATATACATGTAAAATAAGCCAGTGGTTGCTTGGACATTTTTTATTTAATGAATTGTTTGATGTTCTTATTTCTCTATTACACTAGATTGCAATCTTAGAGTAATCTAGTATATCATTATAAGTAGTATAGGTTGTAGATGAGTGGATACAGACATGAAAGGGAATCTGTTCTTGTGTATGTGAGCATTTAATTCCACGAAAAATTTTAATGATAGAAAATAATTAATTTTTAACAGCTATTCCTGTATTATACTTCTCATGTAATTATTTTGGGATAGGGCACTGGGCCTTACAATGTTCCTTACAAAAGGATATTAAGGAAGTATATTATTATTTTTATTATTTATTAAATTTTTATACCGCCCTTCTCCCGAAGGACTCAGGGCGGTGAACAGCTAAAATTAAAATACATACAATATGAAAATTAAAATAATTTAAAACATGATTAAATTAATTTGGCTTCCCCAATTTAAAACCCCTTACCCATAAAATTGACCAGTTAAAAACTTTAAGCCAGCCCGGCTTGTTGAAATAGAAAAGTCTTCAGGGCCCGACGGAAAGTACGGAGATCCGGGATCAGTCGTAACCCTGGGGGTAGCTCGTTCCAGAGGGCGGGTGCCCCCACCAAGAAGGCTCTCCCCCTGGGGGCCGCCAGTCGACATTGTTTGACCGACAGCACCCTGAGGAGACCCTTTCTGTGGGAGTGAATTGGCCAGTGGGAGGTTATCAGTGGCAGAAGGTGGTCTCGTAGATACCCAGTCCCTAAGCCATGGAGCGCTTTAAAGGTGAGAACCAATACCTTGAAGCGCACCCGGAAGACCACCGGAAGCCAGTGCAGCTTGTGCAGGAGAGGTGTTACATGGGAGCGCCATGTCGCCCCCACAATCAGCCGCGCGGCCGCATTCTGGACCAGTTGGAGCCTCCGGATGCTCCTCAAGGGGAGTCCCATGTAGAGAGCATTACAGTAGTCCAGGCAGGAAGTGACGAGGGCATGAGTGACCGTGCATAAGGAGTCCCGATCCAGAAAGGGGCGCAACTGGCATATCAGGCGAACCTGATAAAAAGCCCCCCTGGCCACAGCCATGGATGTCATATGCTCTTCTAAAGAAAGCCGTGCATCCAGGAGGACGCCCAAGTTACGAGCCCTCTCCAAGGGCATCTATTATGATAAAGAAAAGATTTCCTCTCATCAGGTTGTAAATTGTAGAAGCAAGATTAAATTTGAGCTTTCCCTGTGATTATCCAATTACTATCAAATAAGTTTCCCAAATGCACATTGATCTTTCAGAACTCGCTTTGTAGGTAATTGTCAAAATTCTTTATGTCCAAGGCAGCCAACTTTAAATGATTTATGTATCCCATGGTCCAAGGATAACATGGTGTCCTCAAACTTTTTGACAGCCATGATCATAGACCTGTGATGGCGAACCTATGGCACGTGTGCCACAGTTGGCATGCAGAGCCATATCTATGGGCACGCAAGCATTGCCCTAGCTCAACTGATTTTTGGGCCTTCCGGGCCCATTGGAAATCAGGAAACGGACTGTTTCTGGCCTCCAGAGGGCCTCTGGGAGGGTGGGGAAGGCTGTTTTCACCCTCCCCAGGCTTCCAGAAAGCCTCTGGAGCCTGGGAAGGGTGAAAAACCAACCTATTGGGCACACCGTGCCATTGTGTGCCAAAAGCATGGGAGGGTCACATGCGCATGCATGGGTTGCATTGAACTATGTGTGTGGGCATGCATGCACATGACCCCTTCCGCTCCCCCCGCTTTTGGCATGCAACGGCAAAAAAGTTAGCCATCACTGTCATAGACCATAGCACTAACATATAGTGTCCAAGTTTATTAGTTTATACTAAGTTTATTAGTTTATACCACATTAATCATACACAACACTCACCCCTAAATGTATGAACTATTACTTTAAAAAAAAACAGTAAAGTTGCCTTCAAATTAAAAGTAATATGGACACACATCTGGCTTGATCCCACAGTTTTGGGGTAAATTTTAATTGATTTTAAATTGGGTTTGTTTTAAATCGCGGCCAAAAATATTTAATCATTTTAAACTGTTTTTAAATTTTGTATGTTCTGTTTTTATTTCGGCTGTTGACCGCCCTGAGTCCTATTGGAGAAGGGCAGTATATAAATTGAAACAAAATAAATAAATAAATAAACATCCATCTAATAATTATCTTTAAAGTAGAATTGGTTCTTACCGTCATGATTGGGATTTCCCAAAGTCCATGGCTCATCTGAGTCAAAATGAGTATCACCTCCAATTCCTGGCCCAGGAAAATAAGCATGAGCCAAAAATCCTCCTTCCCCATCGAATGGAGAACTGTCTCCATGAAAACCTGATGCAAAAATTATAGTAATATCCACGTCTTTCTTGCCATTCTCCAGTTCTACATAAGGAACTTCCTCAAATGTCAGAGGGGTTACATTCTGCCACACATCAAAGGCACGGCGAATAGCTTTACGGGTTTCAGCATCTCCTACTTTTGGAGTGACATTCTTTATGCTGCACCAAAAAAATAAAAAAATCAAAAATCAAACAACAAGTAAACATAGGTGTCACCTTATCAATAGTACCACACATTTCACTCTTAACTGCACATTATAACAACCATTTTGATGTAATGGGGACCGAATAACAATTCTTGAAACTATATCAAGTATAGTGATTTCACAGATTGAAAGTAGTTCATATGTAACAATATAACAACTCCATAAAGTAATTGCTTATTAATGTTCATTACTAAAGATTGGTGACACTGAGGTCAATTTACATTTATTACTACACTGGCAATTTAATTTGTATTAAATATCATTTTTGTAAATTCATTACACTATTAATAACTCCAAAAGTCATTGTGTAAGTCAGTCCTTCTTAATTTGGTATGCTTTAGATGTGCAAACTGTACAATCCAGCATGTAAGTCAGTATTATCATTATGGAATGGTCTGGTTAAATGAATCTTAAGACCAAAAGTCGGAAGGGAGGAAAAGTTGTTGAGGAAAGAGGTCTGGGAAAAAAAACCCATCCACAACTTTCATTTTTTCAATTTTGTAAAGGTACATATTATAAATGGTGCCTGAAGCTGAGGCTTGGGACTGCCATGTCCCAAAACCATTGCCACTTGTAGACAGACCATTATCCAAAGATATAGAGAAGACATTTAAATTAAGTTTATACCTGTGCCCAAGATGGATAGTCGGCTAATATACTTTATAATGACATGACAAATAAATATGTAACTAATTCTATATTTAAAAGAAAACATCCCAATGCAATTCCCTATAACATTTAACTTTCCTCTGAATGACATCTTTTTTGTCTGATTGGAAAATGTTCATGAACAAAAACTTCTGATGATTCATTTAGAAACATTATAAATATACACTTGATTAATAGCATCACGTATTTCCTAAAACTAGACCTCTTATATTTGTATTTCTTGTTTGAAATTAGCCATATTTCAGATATCCATTCACAACAGCTTCTCAAATGTCTTACTACTGAAGCACTTAAACCCACTGATGTTCTCTGTGAAAGGTCAGAGATTATATTAGTGACTATTAAAATATGTTGCTATGTGATAGCTAAGCTATCAGGGAGCTGATTCTTTTGAAGAAGTAATGGGAACATTCAGTGCAGTTTTCAGAAGTGAAATTGAGTTGGAAGTACAGTAAGCCTTTGAGTAATAAGGTATAGGCTTTCTTCAGAAAACCAACAACAGGATTTAAGACATTAGGGTTATTTGAAAACTTTGCTCCAATGAATAGATGTCCAGGCAAAGACTAACTCTTCTCTGTAATCTTGAAAAATTACTGCCAATTAATAGTATTGGGCTACCAGAAGTATGATGGGTCTGCTTTTTTCAGATCAACTCAGTGTTGATCCACTTAGGAAGAGGAATTTACCAACTGGCTTACCACCCAAGCTTAATGTTGTTGATTGAGAGAGAGTGACTGGCCCAAAGCCACCCAATCACCATTCATGGCTAAAGTGGAACTAGACCTCACAGTCTCCTGATTTCTAGCCTGGTGTCTAATTTCTTTACCCACCCATCTCCACACACAACTATTTGATCTAAAGGCCAAGACATGAATTTAAATGACTCTTAACCTACTGACATTTTGAATGGTCCCAAAGACCTGGATTTTTGTCCAGGCCTTTGGTGAAGACAATTGACATCCTTTTTTTTTCTTTTTTTCTTTTTTGTCCCTCAGTTTTCTTCATTAATGTTCTTTTATCTTGTGTTGTTCTTGCATTTTGTATTCTAGGTTTCTAATTTGTTTTTTAAAATGTTAACAATTGTTAACTGGGAGTCACTGGGAGTCAGGCAGCATATAAATTTAATAAATAATAATAACCCCAGGTATTTGGGAAGGACTTAATAAGTGTATAAAATTGCCAAATCCAACTTAAACATTTGGCTGACTGTGCAGTGAACCGTAACAAGTAGACAGCAAAAGAAGAAGAAAAAAACAACTAGAGAAGATAACAAAACACAAAGACCTACAAATAGAAGTACAACTGTGGCAAAAGAAAGCAAATATAGTATCAATAGTGGTAGGTGCCTTAGGTGCAATATGTCTATGGAGATTCTCAGTCATCTAAGTCATAGTTGAACAATAGGAAAATAAAGCCATCAGGACAAGATTCAACAGTCCATCTGTATTTAAAAGACAAAAGCCACTCTTTTGAAGACAGCAAAGGCTACATTTTGTACAGAGTGCTGGTTTGAAAGAGGGCTGTTCAAAATTGAACAGCCCTCTCTCAACAGATACAACATCATTTATCTCCAGTCTACAACACAGCCCTTTCAGCAGGTCCAAAAAGGCTCCACATCCATTTGCACTACTCAGGTGAATCTGACAACACAGATAAACCTCCAGGTGGCCTCAATGAGTCTCTAAAAGAAGGAAAATGATCAGCTGTCTGCAAAGAGTATAAATTCTTCCATTCCTTGCCATCCAATCAGAGCTGAAGAAGCTTCTTGGATAAGAAGCAAAACACCTTCAAAGAAAAACAAGAAAGTCCGCTTGCCTCTTGAAAAAGCACATTTGGGACTTGGATGCAATACAAAAAACAACTGGAGAAGAACTTAAACAAATTGGCATTGACAAAAATCACCATCAGTCAATTGCAAAAGACAGCTGGAACAATAGCATACTCTGATGATCCTTATAACATCATCAAACAATAACGTCTGCCTATTCAAGGTTCAACAGGTGGATAAAAATTCCAAATCCCAATCTAAATATCTGGCTGATTGTGTGACCAACCATAATAATCAATTGTTCTAAAATCAAGAACCAAGTTACTTACGGAGTAGCTGAATGGCACATATATGTAAATACCAGTTTAGGAAGATAGCAGTATTAATAAAGCTAAACTGGCAGAAAGGATTCCAAAAACATACATTTGGTAATCCTTCTTCTATATATATATTTTAATTTTAAAACTAAAAGTTATATCCTTGAAAAGTAATTTTATAATCAGAAAAGGGGAAGGGGAGGTGACATTTTGATAGATGAACTCTAACAATAATAATGCAAGAGAACAATTTGAAGCATATATACAATTTTGTATGATGGATGAGTCTGCCTTGTTGATGACAGGTGCAAGGAAAGCTGAATTGGAGAAAGGCTCAGTTTCAATAAAGAGGTAAATTGTTAAGTAGCCCCTTTCTGTCTGTGATGCCCTTTTGACTGAAATGGAGCTGTTCATGGACATCTTCAGTCATCTATTTAATCTCTTGGAAAAAATAGCAGCTCGTGACAACAAGCACCATTTTCAATTTGCTAAGAGCTTTAAGCACATGAACCTTTTATAGCCATTTCTAGGATACAATAAGATTTTCGTCATGACAGATACATTTTGTTATTACAGTTTGTACAAACAGCAAGTAACATTCCAGAAAACTATTCATTATTGATATGAGTTACTGACTATATATGGATGATCTCTCCAACACACAAACATAAAGCACACAAATACACAATTGTCTGCTTACCAACAATTTCTAAACAATCACATACACCAAGGTTCCCCAGCCTCTGGTCCATGGGCCAGCACTGGTCCATGGCATGCCAGGAACTGGGCCACGCAAACAAGCAAAGTTCCATCTAAAACCATGCCCCCTCCATCCATGGAAAAACCTTTATCCATGGAACCAGTTCTAGTGTCCAAAAGGGGTCATTGACATACACTATAAAAATGGTATGTAGCATCCATCCATCTCCTACCTTTCCCAGCACAAGACTATCTCACTTACTTATGTATATATTATGTATATTCTTATGCTCTTAATCCATAAGAATATACATATTGAAGAAATTCACATATCCAAAAGCTATGGCTAAAGTTTAACAGCCTATATACACTAGGATCTTAGATACTGTATTCATACTGTAACATAAATCAACATAGATCATTTTATAATATTTTGTAATTGGATTAAATGCATGCATTTCCTTCTACATTCCATCTTAAAAACTGCTTAGCAATAGTTTTATGCTTTATAGTTTCCCTCCCCAACTTTTTTTTTAACTTATTTATTTTAATTTGGCAATCTAGGAGATGTAGATTTATCCAGATGTTGGTCCTAACTAAGATATTATTTATTTATAATTATATTATAGTTGGGATTCTGTGTGTGTGTGTGTGTGTGTGTGTGTTTGTGTGTGTGTTGTGTTAGAAAATCAAAATCATCAAACAGCAACTCTTCTGGCAGCTTCTGTTTTTAACATAATTTCCATCCATTTTGGTCATACAATATAGATGGAGGATAGCAGTTGGGATGTAAATTGATAATAAACAATCAGGCACCAAGGAGAACTGAATGCATTCTTATATATTTAACTATTTGTTTTTTAAAAAAAATCCACATCAGGATCAACAGGCTTCCAATACTAAGAATCTCTTTCTTTACATATCTCAAGAAAGGTTAGGAAACACTGGAAAAAGCTAAAATATTTAGCTTTTCAAATTAGAACAATAGAACAATAGGATAAGGGAAACCATTTTAGAATTTTATATACTCTTGTTCCCACCCATCCATTCCACATCACCTAATATTTTTTAAAATTCTGGATATATTCATTTCTACGCAAAGTCAAGGTCTTTTTGAAGGGTAGCAGCATTGTCTGTGGTGTTAAATATTTTTACATCATCGCCGAAGAGAATGCAGTTGCTTATAATATGATTGCAAAGGTCATTTATGTATAGTATGAAGAGTGTTGGTCCTAGAACGCTGCCTTGGGGAACCCCGCTATTAACAGGTGCAGGATTTGATAGGGCACTCCCTATTTTGACCACTTGTTGTCTGTTTGACAGGAACGCAGCTATCCAATTATGTAGGGGTCCAAAGATGCCATAGGATTTTAGTTTTAGAAATAGTTTGTCATGTATGACTGAATCAAAGGCTTTACAGAAGTCTATGTAAATTGCATCTATTGTTTTGCCCTGATTGAGATTTGTAGTCCATATGTTCTTGCAGTATAGAAGTTGTAG